GTTATTTGAGGTAGCACCTCAACACCGGTTACCACTGCGTAGGCTAAGCTACCTACCCAAAATTGTGCACAACAAGAACGATACACCTAAATTCTAGAGTAAGCTTGTGCTCTCTTGCTAGGTAAAGAATGCAATGATAGCTTACAAGTAGGTTGCTTATTGATTATACTTATATACTCAGCCCTTTTTATCTTTTCTTTTTTAGGTGCATGATGTTGTTGGTCGAGGCGAGAGGGTGCTCGAAAAATCAGTAGCCACAGAAAGGGTGTTAATCTAGGCATCTGTGTTGTCATCATAATTTTTTGTAAACTGACGTATCATACACGTCTTTTGTATTTCGATCTCATTCCCTCTTTTAAGAAAAAATTGAACACATGAACATGTATATGTTTTTACATTGGAGCATCCAAATGAAAGCTCTTCTCGGTTCGCAAGACGCATGGGAGGTGGTCGAAGAAGGTTTCGAAGAACCGAAGGATACCACGGGTTATACGATGGTGCAAAACAAGGCGCTAAAGGAAGCATGATCAAAAGATAAGGCAACATTATATATGTTGTTCTTAGCTATTGACGAGTTGGGCTTTGAAAAAATTGCAAGGGCAACTACTTCAAAAGAAGCATGAGACACTCTAGAAAAGGTGTTCAAAGGAACCGACCGAGTCAAGCAGATGCATCTCCAGACTCTGCGTGGCGAAATTGGAGAGCATGAAGATGAAGGAGTCAGAAAATGTATCTAACTACATTACACGTGTACAGACCGTGGCGAATCAACTAAATCAAAACGGAGAAATGTTACCCGAAATGTGGGTTGTGGAGAAAATCTTGAGGTTGTTAACAGACAACTTCGAGAATATTGTATATGCCATGGAAGAATCGAAGGACCTAGCAAAGTTCGATGAGCTCGTCGGTTCTCTCGAGGCACACGAGCAACGTAAGAGAAAGAAGGAGGAGCTACTCGATCAAGCGCTCCAGACGAAGGCATTAATAAATGATGAAAACGTACTCTACACTCAAAATGTTCAAGGTAGAGGTCGTGGAAACCGTGGGAATGGTCGAGATGGTTAAGGCAACAGTTACGAAGAAATCTATAATGAGAAGAGACTATCGAGTCAAGAAAATTAGTGTGGAAGAGGGACGTAGTCGAGGAAGAGGCGGCCGATCAAACATTTAGTGCTATAAATGTCAGAAATATGATCACTATGCAAATAACTGTAACTCCGACAAATGTTAAAATTGTGGTAAAATGGGGCACGTTGCAAAAGCATGTCGAGCCGGAAAAAAAGGTGGAAGGAACAACCAACCTAGCCGTGGAAGATGTAACAGATGAAGGTCTTATTTTGATGGCTCAAGATGAAGAGAACTTCAACAGCGAAACTCTGTGGTACCTCGACTCAGGGGCAAGCAACCATATGTGCGGTCACGAGCACCTATTCAAAGAAATGCAAAAAATTGAAGATGGTCATGTGTCATTTGGAGATGCGTCAAAGGTGGAGTTCAAAAGCTGAGATACGATACACTTTTTGCAAAAGGATGGTGTGATGGGGTCAATCCCAGATGTTTATTACATACCAGACCTCAAGACCAACATATTTAGTATGGGGCAACTCACAGAGAAAGGTTACTCGATATTCCTAAAGGACCGCCTGCTACACCTAAAGGATAAGAAATGGCGTTTGGTTGCTCGAGTCGAGATAGGAAGAAATCGGATGTATAAATTGAACTTAAGAAGCATACGAGAAAAGTGTTTGCGAGTCGACGTAGAAGACAAGGCATCACTGTGGCATCTCCGCTTTGGTCACCTACATCATGGCGGCCTAAAGGAGTTAGCAAAGAAGAATATGGTACATAGGCTACCAAACATGGACTTTGAAGGAAAATTTTGTGAAGAATGCGTGCTCAGCAAGCATGCGAGAACCTCAATTCAAAAGAAGACTGAATTTTGGGCTAAACAACCTGTCAAGCTGATCCATACAAATATATGTGGACCAATTAACCCCGAATCCTTTAGTGGAAAGAGGTATTTCATCTCCTTTATTGATGATCACTCACAGAAAACCTGAGATTACTTTCTGGAAGGAAACTCCGAGGTATTCAAGGTGTTCAAAAAGTTCAAAGTAATGGTGGAGAAGGAAACTGGTAGACACATCAAAGCTGTACGATTCGATAGAGGTGGCGAGTATACTTCGACGACTTTCATGGAGTACTGCGAGACGCAAGGCATAAGGAGATTTCTAACCGCGCCGGACACCCCTCAACAAAATGGTGTGGCCGAGAGAAAGAACCGGACCATTCTCGACATGGTTTGCTCAATGTTTAAGAGCAAAAGGATGTCGAAGGAATTTTGGGCAGAAGCTGTGCAATGTGCCATCTACGTATAGAATCAATGTCCACACGCGAAGTTAGATGATCAAACACCACAAGAGGCTTGGAGCGGACAAAAGCCTACAATTTCTCATCTCAAGGTGTTTGGTAGTGTGGCTTATGCCCACGTACCGGACCAACAAAGAACGAAGCTCGAAGACAAAAGCAAAAGGTATATCTTTATTGGATATGATGAGAAGACAAAAGAATACATACTACTTGACTCGATTAGCAAGATGGTGACAGCGAGTCGCGACGTGCGAGTAAATGAAGCAAGTGAATAGGACTGGAACAATTCGACGGAAGTCAATATCGAAGTTGGAGAAACATCAGTTGCTGCACCAACAAGTGCACCAACAGACTTAGAAATCTCTGATGATGAAGATGAACCACGACAACCCAAGATGCGAAGTTTGCAAGATTTGTATGACTCAACAAATGAGGTACACCTTGTATGTCTTCTGACAGATGCTGAAAATATCAGCTTTGAAGAAGTAATGCAAGACACGAAGTGGCAAACTGCCATAGATGAGGAGATTAAAGCGATTCATCGCAACAACACATGGGAAGTGTCAAAATTACTGGAAGGAAGTCGGCCCATAAGTGTGAAGTGGGTATTCAAGAAAAAGTTGAATGATCAAGGCGAGATTGAACGGTACAAGGTGCGACTTGTTGCGAAGGGATACAAGCAAAAGGCGGTTATCGACTATGCGAAGTGTTTGCTCCCGTCGATAGAATAGAGACAATCCAATTGATCATTTCCCAAGCAGGCCAATTCAAATGGCCAATTTTTCAAATGGATGTCAAGCTAGCATTCTTGAATGGTGTGCTTGAAGAAGAAGTATACCTCGAACAACCTCCCGGGTACGTGAAAATTGGAGAAGAGAAGAAGGTACTAAAATTGAAGAAGGCGCTTTACGGGTTGAAACAAGCACCGCGAGCATGGAATAATCGTATCTACACATACTTCAGGGAGAACGGGTACAAGCAATGTCCCCACGAACATTCACTTTATACAAAGAAGGGTGGAGGTAATGTGATACTTGTCGCTCTTTATGTCGATGATCTCATTTTCTCAGGAAACAATGATTAAATGATAGAAGAGTTCAAAAGCACAATGACGCGAGAATGTGAGATGACAGACTTGGGCTTGTTGAAATTTTTCCTTGGTTTGGAGATTAAACAAGGAGAAAGATATAGAGATGCTGACTCAACAGAGAAACTCACTTGACGTGAACTTGAATCAAGTCCAATCGGAGGCAGTGAATTTACGACACACGATTGAGACACTCACTCGTGATAAAGCCGAATTGGAGGAAGCAAAAATGCTAGCTGTAAATGTCGCTGTGGACTTGTGAAGGGAATTGAGTAAACTGAACGAAGCCATGATGTCTGTGGTTTTGAGAATTTCTGTCTCTTTGTCTCTCCCCTCTCGACACCTCCTTCACAGGTTCGTGAGAGTTATTTTATCAAGTTAGTTTCAGAGCGAGCATTTATTTTCTACAAATTGGTATCAAAGCGGCTTTTAGACACTGTCAATCGAGATGGATCATCTAGCAGAGTATAGTTGACATGTTCTTAATAGGTTTCATTATATCATCGTCGAGGAGGTAGCGACTCTCTTACTTGCCAATCCTCATCTACCTACCTAATGTGGTCTCATGCCCTCGTCCAATCAAGATCAAGATTAAGAAACAGTTGGAAATT